TTGGACTCTGGTCATTTTTGTTTGAACTCTGTAGTGTGTTTTCCTATTGTATAATTTTGTCTAAATTTTTTTTTGGTTTTCTCAAATGCAATTGCCTGCGGGCGCCAACACTCCCCTTCAATTTTTTTTTTAGGAATTTGACTAGTTGAATTTTTTGTATAGACTTGAATATTGTTAACAAGCAGGTGCCCTCTGGATCATCATTCATTAATGAGCTAAACATTGGCAATATTGTTTTTTCTGTTTTGGATTCTGGACATTTAAGTTTGAACTCTTTACAGTGTATTCCTACTGTATAATTTTGTCTAAATTTTTTTTTTGTTTTCTAAAATGCATTTGCCTGCGGGAGCCAACACTCCCCTTCAATTTTTTTTTTAGGAATTTGACTCTAGTTGAATTTTTTGAACAAACTTGATTATTGATTACGTGCAGGTGCCCTCTGTATTATCATTTTTTAATGAGGTAAACATTGGCAATATTGTTTTTTCTGTTTTGGATTCTGGACATTTAAGTTTGAACTCTTTACAGTGTATTCCTACTGTATAATTTTGTCTAAATTTTTTTTTTGTTTTCTAAAATGCATTTGCCTGCGGGCGCCAACACTCCCCTTCAATTTTTTTTTTAGGAATTTGACTCTAGTTGTATTTTTTGAACAAACTCGATTATTGATTACCTGCAGGTGCCCTCTGTATTATCATTCTTTAATGAGGTAAACATTGGCAATATTGTTTTTTCTGTTTTGGATTCTGGACGTTTTAGTTTGAACTCTTTACAGTGTTTTCCTACTGTATAATTTTGTCTAAATTTTTTTTTTGTTTTCTAAAATGCATTTGCCTGCGGGCGCCAACACTCCCCTTCAATTTTTTTTTTAGGAATTTGACTCTAGTTGTATTTTTTGAACAAACTCGATTATTGATTACCTGCAGGTGCCCTCTGTATTATCATTCTTTAATGAGGTAAACATTGGCAATATTGTTTTTTCTGTTTTGGACTCTGGTCATTTTTGTTTGAACTCTGTAGTGTGTTTTCCTATTGTATAATTTTGTCTAAATTTTTTTTTGGTTTTCTCAAATGCAATTGCCTGCGGGCGCCAACACTCCCCTTCAATTTTTTTTTAGGAATTTGACTAGTTGAATTTTTTGTATAGACTTGAATATTGTTAACAAGCAGGTGCCCTCTGGATCATCATTCATTAATGAGCTAATCATTGGCAATATTGTTTTTTCTGATTTGGATTCTGGACGTTTTAGTTTGAACTCTTTAATGTGTTTTCCTACTGTATAATTTAGTTTAAATTTTTTTTTGGTTTTCTAAAATGCAATTGCCTGCGGGCGCCAACACTCCCCTTCAATTTTTTTTTTAGGAATTTGACTCTAGTTGAATTTTTTGAACAAACTTGATTATTGATTACGTGCAGGTGCCCTCTGTATTATCATTTTTTAATGAGGTAAACATTGGCAATATTGTTTTTTCTGTTTTGGATTCTGGACATTTAAGTTTGAACTCTTTACAGTGTATTCCTACTGTATAATTTTGTCTAAATTTTTTTTTTGTTTTCTAAAATGCATTTGCCTGCGGGCGCCAACACTCCCCTTCAATTTTTTTTTTAGGAATTTGACTCTAGTTGTATTTTTTGAACAAACTCGATTATTGATTACCTGCAGGTGCCCTCTGTATTATCATTCTTTAATGAGGTAAACATTGGCAATATTGTTTTTTCTGTTTTGGATTCTGGACGTTTTAGTTTGAACTCTTTAATGTGTTTTCCTACTGTATAATTTTGTCTAAATTTTTTTTTTGTTTTCTAAAATGCATTTGCCTGCGGGCGCCAACACTCCCCTTCAAATTTTTTTCTTGGAATTTGACTCTAGTTGAATTTTTTTGTATAGACTTGAATATTGTTAAGAAGCAGGTGCAGTCTGTATTATCATTCTTTAATGAGCTAATCATTGGCAATATTGTTTTCTCTGTTTTGGATTCTTTACATTTTAGTATGAACTCTTTAATGTGTTTTCCTACTGTATAATTTTATCTAAATTTTTTTTTGGATTTCTAAAATGCATTTGCCTGCGGGCGCCAACACTCCCCTTCAATTTTTTTTTTAGGAATTTGACTCTAGTTGTATTTTTTGAACAAACTCGATTATTGATTACCTGCAGGTGCCCTCTGTATTATCATTCTTTAATGAGGTAAACAATGGCAATATTGTTTTTTCTGTTTTGGACTCTGGTCATTTTTGTTTGAACTCTGTAGTGTGTTTTCCTATTGTATAATTTGGTTTAAATTTTTTTTTGGTTTTCCAAAATGCATTTGCCTGCGGGCGCCAACACTCCCCTTCAATTTTTTTTCTTGGAATTTGACTCAAGTTGAATTTTTTGTATAGACTTGAATATTGTTAAGAAGCAGGTGCAGTCTGTATTATCATTCTTTTATGAGCTAATCATTGGCAATATTGTTTTTTCTGTTTTGGATTCTGGACATTTTAGTTTGAACTTTTTAATGTGTTTTCCTACTGTATAATTTTGTCTAAATTTTTTTTTGGTTTTCTCAAATGCAATTGCCTGCGGGCGCCAACACTCCCCTTCAATTTTTTTTTTAGGAATTTGACTCTAGTTGAATTTTTTGTATAGACTTGAATATTGTTAACAAGCAGGTGCCCTCTGGATCATCATTCATTAATGAGCTAATCATTGGCAATATTGTTTTTTCTGATTTGGATTCTGGACGTTTTAGTTTGAACTCTTTAATGTGTTTTCCTACTGTATAATTTTGTTTAAATTTTTTTTGGTTTTCCAAAATGCATTTGCCTGCGGGCGCCAACACTCCCCTTCAATTTTTTTTCTTGGAATTTGACTCAAGTTGAATTTTTTGTATAGACTTGAATATTGTTAAGAAGCAGGTGCAGTCTGTATTATCATTCTTTTATGAGCTAATCATTGGCAATATTGTTTTTTTCTGTTTTGGATTCTGGACATTTTAGTTTGAACTTTTTAATGTGTTCTCCTACTGTATAATTTTGTTTAAATTTTTTTTTGGTTTTCCAAAATGCATTTGCCTGCGGGCGCCAACACTCCCCTTCAATTTTTTTTCTTGGAATTTGACTCAAGTTGAATTTTTTGTATAGACTTGAATATTGTTAAGAAGCAGGTGCAGTCTGTATTATCATTCTTTTATGAGCTAATCATTGGCAATATTGTTTTTTCTGTTTTGGATTCTGGACATTTTAGTTTGAACTTTTTAATGTGTTTTCCTACTGTATAATTTTGTCTAAATTTTTTTTTGGTTTTCTCAAATGCAATTGCCTGCGGGCGCCAACACTCCCCTACAATTTTTTTTTTAGGAATTTGACTCTAGTTGAATTTTTTGAACAAACTTGATTATTGATTACGTGCAGGTGCCCTCTGTATTATCATTTTTTAATGAGGTAAACATTGGCAATATTGTTTTCTCTGTTTGGATTCTGGACATTTAAGTTTGAACTCTTTACAGTGTTTTCCTACTGTATAATTTTGTCTAATTTTTTTTTTGTTTTCTAAAACGCATTTGCCTGCGGGCGCCAACACTCCCCTTCAATTTTTTTTCTTGGAATTTGACTCTAGTTGAGTTTTTTGTATAGACTTGAATATTGTTAAGAAGCAGGTGCAGTCTGTATCATCATAGTATCAATACACCTTGCATAGCACCAAATACTATACATGACAAAAAAAATTGTCATGATACTATATACGTATATAGTATTTGATAGCACATTATTTGACGGAATTACCCCTCAGCCGTCAGGGTTTTTATTTTTATTCTATTAGACACTTTGGTCGGTACTGGTGGGTGGGCAAATCGGCAATAGACCGAAATAGTAAATACTAAATACTCAATATTGTGTTTGTGACTTGTGTTACTTACTAATGAACGTCATGTTCATTTTATAGAACAATATTCGTACGAACATTCTCATCCAGTGGCGTACTTAGGAATTTGGTTTGGGGGGGATATACGTTTTTAGCAAACATGAATGGTCATTATCAATACTTTGATCAAAAAGTTAGCGGTAAAAAAAACTTTTTGGGGGGTCTATCCCGCTAACCACCCCCTCCTAATTCCGCCCCTTTTCTAATCTGTTGTAAATATTGATTTTTCATTTTCATTTTTACTCAAAAACGTCGTGATAAATCACCATGTAATTAATTATTAATCTTTAATACTTCATAAAAATAACTTTACGAGCATATTCAGTTTAATTCTATGGGACCAGACCATACCACTTACGGGTTAATTATTCAAATAATGAATCGTTATATGTACCTAAGATTGTTTATTTAAGTTCAATAAGTTGACATGTATGGCGTAGAGTCTAGGAGAATAATAATGAATATAAACTAACAATCTTATATTATGCTTACCTGCAACTACCTAAACACATAAGTAATACCACTGCCTAATAAATATACTAAGTGAAGTAGCACACAATATGATTGGATATATATTAAAAAATTTCGGTAAATAAAAAAAAATACGGCCTCAGTTGTGAAATTGTATTTGTATTTTATATATTATAGTAAAGTAATATGATATTAAAAATTTAAATATTTTTAAATTCGGCCAGTGATAAATGTTATTTGTTGTTTATTCCAAGCCAAACTGATATGATAGTTTCATCCATGAAAGTGATATAAACCGTTTTTTTTCTAGTGATATAAACCGTTTTTATTTACTGTCTGGTAAATACTATACGATTAAGTATCACAATTAATTTTTCATACTTAGTTAAAGACGAGTTACTTGTTTTTATGAGTTTAATTTTTTATTTTTTTCAGCGACAAAATTGCATAAATTGTGGTGCTTTAAAAGTTTAAATTATTCAGTGAAAAATCTAAATTTGAAAATAAAATTCACTTGGATTGTCATTTTATAAACAGCTCACACTTTGATTATAACTTTGATTATAGGCTATTTACCTACTAATTTACAGGAAAAGTACTTATAAATTTATTAGTAATTATCAAATGGACTGTACTGCATATAATGTAAAATTTGATACTGATAAAACATCAGTTACTTTATTACAAGACGTATTAAATAAACAAGGAGTACGCACTGTTCAGTATGAATTATTACAAATAGAAGGCGCTGTTAGTGCACCGTCATTTCAGTATCGTGTCACAGATGGACGATTTGTGGCTTATGGTCAAGGTATAATATAATAATACAGATGTTTCAATTTATTTTTAATATGTCAATAATGTTGTTTAGGAAAATCAAAAAAAGAAGCTAAACAAAATGCAGCCAAGGCTTTACTACGTATTATTCATAAAGAGTTTCCAGAATTATGTTCAGATCCTTTATTTGAGTCACAAATTGATTTTACCTCAGACGTGAATGAAACGTTTGAAACAATGAATTTTGGAGATAATGATGAACGTAATCCAATTGGCATGCTTCAGGAACTTTGTACATCTCTGCATCTTCCTCCTCCAGTTTACATAACAGAATGTGAAGATGGTCTTCCACATCAGCGTTTATTTACTGTTTCGTGTAATGTCTCCGAGTATAAGGAGACTGGTGTAGGCAAATCTAAAAAGATTGCAAAACGACTTGCTGCCAATAATCTTTATTTGATGCTAAAAAGGTAATGAAATTGCATAATACACACACAATGTTGTATTGTATTGTTTAGTAGTTTTATTAATTAGTTTATAATTTATATTTTATTTCTTGTCATTAGCATTCAGGCAGATCTCAGTCTAAACGCTGGAGCGGCCGAGAATGTAGATGACTTTGTTCGTCAAGAGTCCAGCAATTTAAGTGGATTGAAAAATTCTAAATCCACTTCTCAGTTTTATAGGTTACCTGAAATTCATAGACATTTACCGATAACTGAAGGCCCTTGCTATAATGATATAAAAAAAATGGATGACGAACAATTATATTCGTGTAACAGCAAACTGATTTTGGACAGTTTTACTGCTGAACAAGGACTGATAGTATCATTTATTGATTTTGAAGAGCTCTCAAGTACCGGCAAATATCAAACTTCTCTTCAAATATCTACTCCCATTACTGTGGCTTTTTTCGGTGAATCCACTATCAGCTACGAAGAAGCTCAACAGGATGCTGCGTATAGGTCATTGGTATTTTTTAATTGTATATTAAATAATAGTGCATTAAATTTGGTGACAGTTACTTAATTAATTTTATGAAAGATTGTTTTTAATGCAAAAATAAAAAAAGTCAGTTCAGAATAATATAATATGATGTCTGATATATTTTTGTGGCATTTTCTCCATCTAATTAATGTTTTTTTATTGGTTAGTCACATAGTTAGAGCTTAGTTACCTAGGATAAATGATATTTGCTTAGTATGTGACCTACCGAGTGAAAATCTAGTTTAGTATGTGACCTACCAAGACGATTATCTGTATTATGTACAAGTATTGATCTATTAACAGGTATTTTTTAAGTAATATACAAAAAGTATTTAAAAATATAATACAATTTGTTTATGACATTTTTTGAATAACTTTATGTATTTATACATTTTGTTTAACTGATATTTTGTTTGACTGATTTTGAAATTATTAAATATAATTCTGTATTATTTTATATTTTTATTATTAATTAATTAAATAATTACTAACATAATTTTATGATTTTAATTTGACTGTTTTAAAATTAATTATGAGTCTTGTAGGTCACATACTAAATTAATATCAATATCCTATATCACTTTTCCTTAATCAATAAATACAAACTAGTTAATAGTTTTTTTATAATTAGAAATTAATAACTGTAATAGTATAAAAGTATAAAACAAGATGGTAAATAAATAATTCCTTATTTTGAAAGTGGATAGAGGATTCCTATCATAACCATTTTAATATTTTATAAACACAACACTGAAATCACTCAGGGTAGAATTTTTCCTATACAAAATCATTTGTTTTAATTGTAAAAATACTAAGATTTTAGAATTACAATTTTAGTTAAATGTAGTGTGTTTGAGATACTAAAAAATAGCTACTCGTCTTAGTTATGCTATCTTCAGAAAAATTATATTCAACTATAATTTAATTTGTACAGTGTACTAAACTATATGAAAAAATTAAAAAAATTACCTGAATTGCTTTTCAAAATTTTCAATAGCTTGTACAAATGTACAATGTACTGGTATTATTATAATGTTAATAAGTACTATTATAATTATTAATTTCTAATTATAAAAAAACTATTAACTTGTTTGTATTTATTGATTAGTGAAATGTGATATAAGATTTTTAGTTTTTGTTATTAATTAGCTAGTAGAAAAATAATTTTGCAATTGTATGCATGTTTATATTTGTCTTGAATAATCAACATTTTAACAAAATGTCAATATAGAATATTTTAATTTATAATGTAGCATTCAAATAGTATGTTATATTATATAATCAAACATTGTCTGGTGTAGACTATTTCAATTTCATTATAGAACTTGGATGGAAAAAAATCACCAGTATCTTTGAAAACATACAATTATTGCATAATTAAATTATACTATATTATGATCAAGTATTTTCTAATCTATCTTATACTGTTAAGAGCAAAAAAAAAATGATTACTATATTAAGTAAGTGCTTATGCACTTGGGTAAAAAAATATTGTGTCTGATTATTTGGAGTTCACTTAACTAGACTTTGTCGAAATTTCCTGAAATTTAATTGAACATATTAAGGTCTGCGAGTTAAATATTAATTTTCTCTTTTGTATACAGTATACATTATAGAAATCTATTTAAGATTTTGAGTGGAGCGATTAATTACGTGTTTTTACAAATCCTGAAATATGTCTATAATGCATTATGTAAGTGTGTTTCACAGAGAGAGAATTAGTAATAACTAATAAGTATTAGCTACCGTCAACAATACAATCTCAAAACTATAGTAACATAATATTTACTTAAGAGGATGCCACACCTACATGTTTTGTCTGCTTTTTGTTTTACAAACATACTACACACAAAATGTGTGTTACTACTTACTAGCTTTAATATTTGAGTCAATTGCCTATAATTAAATTTAAAGATGGTAAGTTTAATTTGATATTTTAATTTTTAAGGAAGGTATGAGTATTTTAAAATTGTACATTATTATTTTGCTTTAAAATGTATATATTGATAAAAACTTAGAAGATGCCCTAGATAATATTCTTACCTTTAAGTTGGATAAATTCTCTCTAGTACAATAAAACTGGTTCTGCTGAATGGACATTTTCTATTTTGTATGTTTTTAATAAGTAATAAGTAGATAACATGTCATGTAAGTGTGGTATTCTAAATTCTAATATTTTAATAGTTGAAAGTATGATTGTGAAGAGGCTGTCAGCGCACTATTTGTTTTCTCTCTCTGGCCCACTCACAACATAGACAAAACTCATTTACGCAGAATCATTTTTTCTATGTTTTTAAGTAATCTTAGTGTAAAATCACCCATTACAAAAAAGATAGAGAATAATATTTTCGTGGGAATGACATCAATTTTATATTTTATTGTTATTTGATTTTGTATTCAACTTTCAAAATAAACAAAAATATGTTGTAAATTTAAACATAAAACAAATAGTGCACTGACATCCTCTTAATTGTAAACCAACTAGAATTTAAGTTTGATCATTGGAGCACTAAATTTGAAGACCAAGCATTTAAATGTAAGAACCAAGAACGGCATAATAATGATTGACTGTCTTTGTGTTAATTAGTAAATTAAAGTACTACCTACTCATTAGTCATTAATTTCACATTATATAAATTATAAAAATATAATTAAAATATTGTTTTTTTTTTTATTTATACAATTATTACACATTTACAAAAGTTATTTAAAAAAAAAAATTAAATACAAAGTAAGTATTTGGTTTTTAACTAATGCAGACTAATTTTTCTGATGGAATTATTTGCATACAAGGTTCAATGTTGGCTATATTTAAAAATCCTGCCAAGCTTAACAAGCATCCTAAACTTCTTCTATTGTCTTATGTTTAAACTATTAAACTATTAACATCAAATTGTACATAATTGCTTACCGATTCCTGGACCATCGTCCATCGATCATATTATACAAGATGATCTAAGGCTCTGACATAATGATTGTAGTACAGGTCTGATTTTATTTGATCTTTATTATAAATCTTTAATTACAAAAATTATTTATGAATATAAAATTGAATTGTATGAGTTACTCGTATGATCCTTATTACAAAGCAAAAGAAGTGATTTGTTGAAATTCTTTTTCTTTTAACCTCAACACAATTAATTTGTCCAATATTTCTCGCCTCCATTTGCTTTTAAAAATAGTTTCTCTATCATTTGGAGAATTAAACCTACAAAATATAATTAATTATCAATTAAATTAAATTCCATATCACATTGAATGGTACATATTTGATTTTATATTGTGTAGGATATTGATTATAAGAAAGTTTATAAAATTACCATTGTGAAATAAAACAAACATCTGGTTCAATTGAGCCTCCCACTACAGAACTCCAAAATGTTTTTGGTTTTTTAATTGAAATATTACTTTTAATTTCCATAAATGAATCCGGTTTAGCTTCCATGCCAATTAAAGACCCAATGCTAAGTTTAGGACTCCAAGCAGACACTCGGCGTTGAGAAGGATTGATTTCTTTTGCACTAAAAATTAACAACTAACATTAAAAATCTTTTCTTATTCATAAGTAGATAATAATGTAGATGTTCAAGGGTATACTTCAAGTTTAAATTATTTTTTGAATCATTTCCAACCAGACGTGTTGGAGCAGAATGTGAAGGCTCAGTAAATGATGATGATATCCATGATTCTATCCCTTCCTGTTTTGTCTTAAAAAAATAAATATAATTTCATTATGTACAAATTTGTAGTTAGTTAAGAGAATGTTTAATGTTAGTAGTGTTAGAGTAAAATTTGGACCTAATTTATACTTGCGAATATAAGATTGAATTTTGTAATTTTAAATTAGCATGGCTTATGAAATCAGTGGCGTACACATGGGAAATTGGGGGAGGGGGTGTTCACCCCCCTGGTATTTTTTACTATATTATAATGAATCAAATTTAAAATATATTTTGATACTATAACTATATAAAAATTAAACATAAATAGGTATATAATTTTTTAATATAACCCTTCCCATTTTCCATTGAATTGAATACATGTGTACGCCACTATAAGAAATAAATTAAAATAATACCTCCTGTACTTTAGGTTGTTCAATTTCAATGGATGCCTGTATATGAATCCACTTTTTACCAGTAGGATAATTTTTAGATATATCACTCCTAAAATATAAATGCCTATCTAAACCCACTGAAAATACCTGATAATAAAAAACATTATTTATTCAAGAAACTTTGAATATAATTTGCAGAATTTACTTGATCGTTTGGGGTTACGGAGACTGAAAACATAAATGTGTTTAATTTCACCCAACAAGTTCCTTCACTGAGATTTTGATCAATTCCTTTTCTATACCATACTCTGGAATCATTAGTAATTGCCCACACTGACTGAAACCCGACTGATAATTGAGTTATTTTGGAATCTGCTTCCGGAGATTCAACCATAATCCATTTTTTACCTTAAATATTATTAATACAGCATTATTGGTGAGAAAAATTAAATAGAAACCAAAAAAATTAATTTTCAATCTATAAAAATTACAAGTAGATATATAGTAGCGAGTAGCCAGTAAGTATATTTTACTGACCTTGTGGAGTTTCAGCACTGACTTCTTTTCTGACTAGTATGACACCACTCCATAAAACTACCCAAACAGAACCCGACGGACCACAATCAATATATCTGGATTCACTGCCTTCTTTGGTAGGAACACAGACCCACAAACAGCCTTCGGGCCACATTTTGTTTACGTTCTTACGGTAGAAAATCTGTAATTCAAAATCTTTTAGAACAAAAATTGTATGCTTAAGTATTTGTATACAAATTCCATGACCTATTAAAAGGTATATAAATGTCTATTTACCCTTCCTTGTGCTGTCACCGCCCATACCATAATGACACCAAGTTGGGCTTCGGGTATCTTATGCCCTCCAATGCTAACGCAAATAAATGGTTCCTGCACAGTGGTAATATTAAAATTATTATATATATATATGGTGAATTTATTCGTTTCAAAGACCTGAGTAAAATCTTTGTGCAGAGGAGAAATTATACACCAAGAATTCATGCCTGTGTATATTCGATTCCTGTACCATTTTCTCCTCCTAACGCATGAATTCCAGCGTTTGGTTGGATAAAACTTTGCACAAAAATCGACCGCATATGTCCAACCCTGATGACCGGAAAATGTTCAATAACAATTCATACAATACTAATATTATAATATATTATTATAATGGCGTGTATAATAACTGTATGTCTGTATATGAGTGTCAGCCTGGCCTACCCCGGCTACCCGCGCGTAATCACCGGCAGACTCGAATTAAGAAATGAAAAAAGGGATGGGTTAAACAAAAAAATTTACTTTTGTACGTAATATTTTTATTTGTTTTTATAGTATTTTTCAGTATATCCACCATGTTCCATGATGTACACACAAATCAATTTTATAGACCCGTGTTGGAATGATCTTTGTAACAAAATTAGAACTATAGGTAATTAAAAAGATGGTTTAATAAAAAAAAATTGTGACTACCTAAGTATTTTTAATATTTTTCAACTGCCATTGTAACAATAAATTAAGAGCCCTGTATTCAATTTACAAGCTTTTTGACAAAAAGAATACAACTTTAAATACATTTATAGAAAGAAAAAAAATTCGAAACTTAAAATTCTGAAATTTCTCCGAGCAAGTCAAAATATTTTGAAAGTCGAATGGTGTAAGTATAGAAAATGCTAATATAAATACATTCAGTGCAAATTGCATGTATCTACATTCTACGATCGTTTGTTTTTGAGTTACCTTTACCAAAAACCAAATTCGATTTTTTCGATAACCGATTTTGTGTAAAAATTCTCATTATTGCTTAATTTTTCTGTTTTTCTCGGTGCTATTAAAAACTACTGGGAATTTTAAATGTTGACTTCCTCAATGGCCAATACACCAACTAGATTCACTTTCCCGTCGAACAACATAATGAAATTGAAAAACGAAACATTATTTCGTGTACTAATTATCGTGTACACGCAGAAAATAAAAAAAAATCCCCATCATTGTAAAACCAATACAATGTGCGAGTTATTCCCAGCGATACCTACCTACGTTAATTTCTTTACAAATATCATGGTCCTATAAAATTGACTTGTGCAGTTAATGCATATATTTAAGTATTGAACAGTATTATAAAAACACCTTTAACGAGTATTATGATTTTTATTACCAGTTGGATTAACTTTAGTTATAACTTATAAGTTTATATCTTATAAAAGCGTGGAAACCATACAATTTAAAATATTACGATGTATGCAATGCTGTATGTAGTATGTCCATTCATTCTAAATTCAACAGATTTTAAAATTGTTTTTTATCCGTGGGGCATATTATAAATATATAAATCTACAATATGACTATTATTGAATTTTAAAATATCAAACAAAGGTTTTACATATTTTAAATTCAGACCTTGGTAAAAGAGAAGCTTTCATTGTGTATAGGGGGCCCCCAATCATTAGCCAGACGCCCAGACCAATACTGATATATATAGGTATATTACGTTGTTGTCTAAATCGTTTTCCTCGAACGTAGTCTCCAACTTCCAATCATGTTCCCATTGCCAGACAAAAGAGGGCAATTTTATATTCTCCATCAATTTTTCTTCTTTACCGTTTTCCGACGACCAACAATATCTATCGGTGGGCAAAAGTCTTTTTGAAAAACTCCCGACGGGCATCCATCGCTATATATATCGACAACAATACAATATAATATTATAATATAAATATAATATACTATATACAAAATATTATTCATGTATACTAAAGTATACCTACCCTATATGAACAATTCTCGTAAATTCTCTTATTAGTATAATACGTATAGAACATATCTATAAATAATATATCTACCTACATTTTGTGTATATTTTATAATACCTAGTGTACAGGGCGATTATTTAGGGTAATATTTTAGTGGCGTACCTACGCCTATCTTCCACTTTTTTTTTACCTAATTTGAAGTAATAAGTATAACAAGTTGCAATAGATTTATTAGATAAATAAAATAATTATTAATCTTTTATCTATATATGGTTGGATCATCAAAAATGCATAGAATTAAGTATTAAGTAGGTATATAAATTATTATTATGCATGGTCAAAGGTAAATCATCACCGCTGCTAACCTACCTCGTTTTCATATACTTCTTCCTTGATTCGTATCGCTCCGTCCAGGTTGTGCACCAACAGATACGTCTGGTTGTCGCCTCCGATGGACCACATGTAATTCTCGATGGCGGAAATATGTTTCAAATCCATGCCGATATGGGGAAACGGTTTCCATTGGTCATCAAACGCAGACAGTGTGAAAATCTTTCCGTAGTTATTAATAGCCAATACGCATTGCAATTCGTTCATCTTATCGTGGTGCAAAACATTCAACCGGTAGTCTTAGTAACTAGGTAGTCTTCACAACTACCTACTGATTAATAACCCATCTATCGAGGCACGACGCCACGATGGATTGCTATTAACCAAAACATATTGGCAATATCATAGGTAGATAATTAGTAATAGTTTATAGTAATAATATATACTTTCGCAGTTTTTGAGTAAAATTTAATGCCACGGCACTTTTATTGTTATCGTTATTCTGTGAATCTGTGATAAGTGACTCGGCGGATATGCGAAAAATCAATAGGCATGAACCGAAACGCGCACCCACCGAGCGAACCACCCCGTGTGCAGCATGAGCGTCGTACGCAGGTCTCCTCTCATTGGTGGATTCCCAACTGTAATTTACGTTTAAACTTGAAATAATTGTGGTGAGAAATATATCAATTTATTTCTAGTTAACTATAGTTGGTAGATATAGCCGTATAGAACATATAGGTAGAGTAATCGGAAAAAAAATTCCCGGAAATTAAATCCAAAATCCACAAACCAAATACTTACTTTTAATACATAATTGTACATCATAAAATACTCGTAACTCGCTTTAAAATTAAAATATAAAATAATGCCTAGTTAATGATCTTAGCTTTAAATTTTATAAGAAGTCAATCTGAGAAAAAGTGATCTGAGATGAAAATTTTTGTTGTTGTTGTTTTTAAGTCGTTTACGGACATTGTCAGTTTTTAATTTCTTAATTTTTTTTTCTATGAACATCAATAAAATTGTATTTGTTATGTAAAAAAGCATGAAAATTGTATGCAAGGCTCACGATATATTGTTAGAATAGCAGTTGAAAAATATTAAAAATACGTAAGCACATTTTTTTTTTATAATCATTTAAAGTTCAAATTTTGACAAAATTTGTCAAATTTAAAATGTAATAATTTTTTTGTAGTTAAAAACTTATAAAATGTTCAACTTTTAAAGCTAAGGATTGAAAATTTAATACGAGATTCCAAGTAAATAGGTTATATATAAATTACTTTATTCACCTTAGTATCATCAAATATACTTCTTAATATCATAGGCAATAGGCTGACTAACCGTTTTCGCTCAGAATCGTTTTTCTTATACAATAATATTGTATCATTGAATTCAAATTTAATACCGTTCATTATACAGTGACCCACTTGTAACCTACTGTACAGCAGAGTACCTTTTGTTAAATTGATTACCATTTGTTGGTGCTTACTGCTTACATACCTAGTATAGTACTATATAGCCATTAGCCATATAGAATAGGAAAATATTTTTCAATTTTTGGTATTTTTAAGTCTGTGTGCAGTGCATCATTTCAAACAATTAACAAACCATGGGGAATTGGAAATTACATATACCACTTTGGATAGTATGACTTGTCTTTCATTTAGATAAACTAATATTACCTAGACCTTGCAATATTTTGTACAATGTGGTAATACAGCTATTGTGTAGAAATAATAATATAAAAATTCATTTTTATGCTCACAGTTTCAGCAAAAACTTTAATCTTCAATTTTTTCAAAATGCTATCAGATACTTGACATTTTTAATGTAGCTCAGTAGCTCACTTAGTATAGAAAGGTTGGCAAACCCTGACTCAAAGTATGGTATTACAGATGCGTCCTGTTTTTCGTCGGTATTCCTGTGTGCAAGAAGTTTTCCTAGTTTTGCTAAGCTGCAGATATATGATGTTTTCTATAGCCGTAGCCCGTTTTTACATTTAAAATAATGGATTCGTTACCTGGAGCTGGAGGTATGCATAATATGCATTATATTATAATGTATATAGATTTGTAAAACATCCAGAGGCGTTCTCAGGATATTTCAATGGAGGGGGATGAAAAAAATGGTTTCAAAATAAGCCGTACCTAAGGGTTTTGCCTCACAACTCCCATATTATAATAATGAATATTAAAAAAAGCGGGTAAGTGGATGTCGCTCTGCTGTACAGTAGATTACAATAGTTGGTCACTGTTTAATGGATTGTATTAAATTTGAATTCAATGATATCATATCATTGTATACGAAAAACGATTCTGAGCGGAGACGGTTTGTCAGTCTGGATATTTTATATTGTAATTATATTTTATTATAGCCTGTAAGTTGAATTAATATTATAAATTACGATAAAATAACTAAAATCATTATTTTTATTTTATTTGTTACAATGGTGATAAACAAAGTGTTAGAAATTGAAATCACATTTTTAGCGGTTTTTGAAATTTGTCGGTGAAATTGTAATGTGTCATTAAATAAATATTGAGAAAATTGAAAAATTACCTCTCTAAAGTACCATCTTGATAAAATTTGCTAAAAGAAAAGATATACTATATGTTAAAAGCGAAGAACTGCTTCTGGTAGAAATTTTGTATGCAGGATAAAATAAAAATAAATATAAACAATATTGAAAAACCAATAGATCCCTCACTCCGCTCAGAATCTAATAATATTGATAGTAATATAGGTAGTTGATAATATCAAATAATCAATTCAAGTCATATTTATTGTTCTTTTTATTTAAACTATAAAAGAATGTTATGAATCAGTTTAAATCAGGAATGGAAAATGTTTTAAATTTTTTCGTTTTTGTTTTTGATTAACGTTTTTAAAAACGTTATTTTTCTATATTGTTTTTGATAATATTGTTTTTTTTTTTATAGTAGTAAATTTAGCAATTTTGAAATGCACTTAAGAGTTAAAAATTAAAATTAATTATTCTTGATTTCAAATAAAAATGTTTTTAAATTTTAATAGAGCATTGTTGGTAAAGATTAAAAAGTAAATACTTAAGTAACATTTTTTTTTCGTGTTATAAATATAATAATGTAAATACTTTAATTTATTTGCGTTTTCGTTTTTGATTTCGTAATTAATTTTTTTTCTGTTTTTGGGATTTTTTGTTTTTGTTTTATTCATTGTTTTCGTTTTTTTTTCCGTTTACTAACGTTTTTTAAAAACGTTTTCCATCCTTGATTTAAATTATTTATTTTATTTTATCACTGTGGTGTTATCATTGTGTATCTTACCTTTACATTTTTTCTGACGCTGGGAATTTATAAAGTTTACAGAGTGATTGTTTACAAAAATACAGACAATACAGTACAAATCAATTGTAAAGCGAATTGCCTGTTACATTTTATAATTATCAGTGATAAATAATAATATTGTTTATGGCTGGTGGAATCAATAATCACGATAAAGAAAAATTGCAAAAAAAAAAAAATAATAACTACCAAGTCAATATTGAAAACACAAACACATATCAAAAATAGAAAAAACGTGTATTACTAATATGTAAAAAAATAAAGAACCTTGGGGGGGATCTATCCCCCATATCCCCCCCCGTGAGAACGCCCATGAAAACATCAAATCAATGAACAATTTTAACTATAGTTACGTGGATTGAAACAAAATATACAAATACAAACTTCATCAGTATATTTAGTAGACTTCCAAGATAGATCCAGACAATCTTTTTTTACCATTTAAAGAAACACTTTTAGATAGTTAACAAAATGGCCAGAACATTTATTAAATGTATTTTTTGTCTATTGTAATTTTTAATACATTATTATTTATTAGTGAGTTTAAAGTTTAAATCTAAATTTAAAATAGCAGTCATCACAGAGAAGAAAAACTCAATTTTAGGTTAATGTTTATATTTTGGCCAAGTTTTTATGAAAATAACCCACTGCGCGCCGTAGCTCCACATAAACCTTCAAAACCGCAAATTTAGATTTCTATCTTAAATTATCTTTTGGTCATATACAATATTTACAAATCTAAAAATAATAGGTTTCATTTAAATAATAAAATAACTTTTAGTTTTGTACTTGATCAGTATAACTAATAAATAAAAATAATCATTTAATAAATAATTGTTGTATAATATTATAATGTTAAAAAATTTAGATATATTCAGGTTTAAAAAAACAACAAACATCTTGTTGCCAAGTGCATATGTGTTTGGAAAATGTATTTTTCGTGTCTGTGTCACAATTATTACTAATCAGTATTCATTTTTTGCGTCTTGCGAACATTACCAAGAAATTTACCTATACTTTAAAAGTCTAAAAGTTAAATCGTCTTTTCATATAGGTAATCTATTTATTCGACGTATATCATAAAATCAATATGTCAAATAGTGCAGCACACGACAGTAATTCATCCGTTATCCAGAAACTGTCCACGAACGAAATTATGCAACTGGTTTTTGACGATCTTCGATAAAATAGACCGAAACCGTTAGATAATTGCGATTTAAATAGTCTGACGGTGCACAAAAGGTAAATGTCGTTACCATACATTGTTCCCGCAATCCCGCAGCCAAAGCACCAGAGTTCTGATTGAAATCAACTTCCAATATAATACTACCGGTTGTCGACGATCTCCAGGAAAATGAACAGAAACCGTCATCGGAAAGCGGTGATTTCCATAGTTTGCCGGTGCACAAAAGGCTTATGTCGTTACCTAACATGGCCTTGCTGGAAAATTCCGCAGTCGAAGAACTAGAGATCGGATGGAAATCCACGACCGAAATCGTGCTACCGGTTGTCGACGAAAATATGAAGAAACCGTCAGAAAGCTGCGATTTCCATAGTTTGCCGCTGAAGAAGAGATTTCTGTCATTACCCAATATGGCCGTGGCCCGCGGGTGCAAATTTCGGGAGAGAGGTTGAGTTGCCGTCAGTTACGTCCGTGGAGTTGACAGTTTCCACCGATTCGACATGTGCCGGATCGTCTATTGTCACATTGATGATACCACCTGCCCAGTGCCGCAACAACAGCAGGGGCAGCAGTGGCAATGCCCTTGTGGAGGGCCTCTAATCGTTGGCTGAGGGGGCGCCGACGGTGCCCCCATCTATTTTAAATTTTTAAATAATTGCATCCTAATCTAATGTTTAAATCAAATAAAATATATTAATATATTTTTATAACTTATTATGCTATCTAATTAGTTTTCGAAGAACGGGTTCCCTATTTATCCATAATAATATATCTATATTTATCTATAAATGGTCACTGGGTAGTGGAACTTCGCAATATATTTTTAGGCATTTTAAAAAAAAATCACAATAATTATTATTTTTTGTATAGGTAACCTATAAAAAAATATTATATTCATGGACCTCAGGGGCCAGGGCCCCATACATTGACTTTGTCCGGGGCAACAAGAATCCTAATTGCGGCACTGCAGCTGCCCCTGTAGAAGATAGCGGGATCGAGACGCCGCTGTCCGACGGCGTGCGGCTCCTGGCAGGGGATACGGTAACCCGTGGTGGTGATGATGGGACGGATCCGGCGGTAACTGCAGTGACACCTATAGTCTGTCTCACGAGAGAACCAACTTTTCGTTGTAAGCGTGATCACGTGGTTATCCACTCACCAATCGAATCAGTCTACATGCGCGAAACGGTCCCGTTCTTTCGTGGGACAGACTATAGACGTTCACTGTGGAGCCGGACCAAGAAATTCGTGAGGCTAATGTTCTGTTGTGGTGCGATACTGTAACCAAAAAATCTAAAGAAAATATATGAACACAGTTATTTTTTACAGACATTTTAAATTCAAATTTGGACGAAATTACATATTAAAAAAAAAGGTGGGCAAGTGGGTGTCGCTCTGCTGTACAGTAGGTTACAAGTGGGTCATTGTATAATGGATGGTATTAAATTTGAATTCAATGATATAATATCATTGTATAAGAAAAACGATTCTGAGCGGAGACGGTATGTCCTTCTAGGTAAAAGACATATTATATACATATCTATGGTATTAAAAAAAATTGACCTATAATGAATTCCAAATTAATCATATCACAATATCCATTAGGTACTTATAACGCGTTATACACCAACAACAAACCCTGATACTATCATAGATATATATAGTAGATTACTTTAGAAATTTCAAGTACCCACGAATAATATTATACAATCACAACAAAATAACTAAAATCGTAATTCTTGGTTTAAATATGAAATTTTGTCTAAACTTGAAATTAAAATGTCTGTAAAAAATAAGTGTGTTTATATATTTTTTAGATTTTTTGGTTACAGTATGAATTATTTAAGAGAATCTTTGTTTTAAATTTTCAACTCTTAGTTATAAAAACTGAACATTTTATAATTTTTTAATTCCAACGATTGATTATTTTTGAGATTTTGATAAATTTTGTCAAAATTCCAACTTTAAATGCTTATAAAAAAAAATCGTGCCTATGTATTTTTAAAATTTTTCAACTGATATTGTAACAATATATAAGAAAGCTTGTATTCAATTTTCAGACTTTTTGGCCCACCAAATAAAATTTTATTGACAATTATAAAAAAAAAAACTAAAAAAATTGAAAACTGAAAATGTCCGTAAACAGCTCAAAAAGAGTCAAAATATTTTCAAAATTGTATAGTGTATAGGAAATGCTAATATAAACATTCAGTGAAATTTTCATATATCTATAGTTATTCGTTTATGAATTACAACAAAATAAGGAAATCGCTACATGAGAAATCGAGTGAACATCCAATGTTGTAAAAATTTGAATTTCAAACGCTCATAAAAATTAAATTTGACTGTCCGGTAGAGATTTTTTTATTGATAAAGGTAGACAAACTTATGAGTAATCTTGTATTACATTTTCAAATCTTAGATTTAAAAAGAAAAATTTTTGCGAATTCTTAACTCAAAATAATTTGCTAATTTTCGTGATTTTTCCATATTTTGTCAATTTTTGAACTTTAAATGCTTATAAAAAAAAACTGTGACTAACGATTTTTAATATTTTTCATCTGCCTTTGAAACAATATACTAGGAGTCTTCTATTAAATTTTCAAGTTTTTTTAACCAACAAATAAAATTTTATTGATATTTCTAGAAAAATAACTAAAAAAAAATGAAAAATGAAAATGTCCCTAAACAGTTCAAAATAAATCAAAATATTTTGAAAATGTTATCGTGTATAGAAAATGCAAATATAAACAACCAGTGAAAATTTCATGTATCTACGGTCATTTGTTTTAAAGTTACACCAAAAACCAAATTCGATTTTTTGGAAAATCGATTTTGCGTAAAAATTCCCGTTTTTCCTTAATTTTTATGTTGTTTTTCCCGGCGCTTGTGAAAACTACTGGAAAATGTTTACTTTTGACCCCCCAAAGTACCAACTAGATTCACTTTCCTACCAGAAAAGGTACTATTGAAGAAAATCGAAGCACTTTTACTGTCCCAAAACGTGATGACAGACACAAAAATAAAAAAATATAAAAATATAAAAAAAAAACACACATCATTGTAAAACCAATACATTCATCGCTCCGCTCAGAATCTAAAACTTAGAATAACTATTTTAGTTATTTTGTTGTGATTGAATAATATTATTCGTGGGTACTTGAAACTTCTAAAGTGTACTATTATATATCTATGGACTATGATAGTATCACGGTTTTTGTTGATGTATAACGCGTTATAAGTACCTAATGGATATTGTGATATGATTAATTTGGAATTTATTATAGGTACCTATTATAGCAGGTCAATTTTTTGTTTTATACCATAGATATGTATATAATATGTCTTATGACTTATACATAGACTGACATACCGTCTCCGCTCAGAATCGTTTTTCTTATACAATGATATTATATCGTTGAATTCAAATTTAATATCATCCATTATACAGTGACCCACTTGTAACCTACTGTACAGCAGAGCGACACCCACTTGCCCACCTTTTTTATGTTTCCCTTTCTCATTGAAAATTAATTTGCAGTTAATTTTTAGCAATTTTAACTAGGTACCTATGCATTCCAATATTAGATTTTTAATAGTAGGTAAACTATACAAAAATACGTAAGTAACTAATTTATAACTTAGGTCTTAGGTACTATCTACCTAGAATCTTCCATGATACCTAGTAGGTACCTACCTACTTAGTTAATAACGTTTATTTTTCTTTATTTAAAATGATAAAATATAGGTGAGTTCGCGTGTTCAGCTCAACCGAGACGGTCGCACATAGCAAAGTTCAATCGCACATCGACAACGTCTTCGACGGCTCAACTCGTATACAAGCAAACAAATACAAGGTTAGTGAACCACTTATAATGTAAATCACACCTAACCTACAATGAGCATCAATACTAAATCGCCCTTAAAAAAGGGCCAAAACAATTTCTTTACCACTAAAGCACCAAATAATCTACATCTTAACAACAAAATAATCAAAACACCTAATAATAATTCAAAGATCGCACCCCAAATCACAAATCCCAAAACCAACTCAACTTCACAGCTCAAAAATATTCCAAATCAAATCACACCAAATCAATCACCTCCAAACCCTAAAACCAACGAAAACCAAATCTCATTCGCCAATGCAGCAGCCAAAACTCGAAACCCAAAAAAAGAACAAGCAATAATCATTGAAATAACTGACGATATTCAGCAACATGAATATGTTTATGCAATAGCAGAAATAACTAAACCAGAAAACATAATATTCATGTCACGCATATCCAAAGATAGATTCTGCATATTCTTATCATCAGTAGAACAGGTTGACCGCGTCGTTAATCATCCAACACCAATAACAATCAAAGAAAAACCAATTAAAATCAGAAAATACTTTAACCCCGATAAAAGAATAATCATATCTAACGTATGCCCAACAATCCCAAACGAAACGATTCTAAGCGAACTCAACAACATTGGTATAACCCCCACCAGCCAAATAATTCACCTCAGAGCCGGTGTTAAAAAAGAAGGTTTCGCACACATATTAAGCTTCCGAAGACAAATGTTCTTATCCGCAGAAACCACCATAAATATTCCGAATTCGCTACTAATCAACCACGAAGGATCAAATCACAGAATTTTTTTCTCAGACGACTCACTAACCTGCTACAAATGTAAAAAAATTGGACACACTTCCGCCAGCTGCAATGAGTTCATAGAAACAACCATACAAAATCAGAATAATTTAGAAAAAATAAGCGACGCTCTCACCACGCAACAACAACACACAATAACAACCCCCCAAACAAGCATGTCACAAATAGAACACCCTATAGTGAACCCAATTAAAAATACTGAAGCGAATACCACCGATAACATGGAAACCGACCTCATATCATTCACCGATAACAAAAGGCCCGCGCCCTCCTCTCCAACGACGTCCCGAAACTCCGAGGAAGCCATAATAATCGACAATGAACAAAACTTAATTGCTACCAAAATCCACAAAGATCTCACCATAAAAAAAGCCAAAATAATACGACCCAACACGCAAGCAACCATCGAGTTTGATACAATATTAGAACCAGCAAAACAAATTTTTACCAACAACGCCAGCAATTTATCAATCAGTTTCACACAATTCAAAGCCATAATAGAAAACGCTCTAACCTGCAGCGACAAACAAGAATTATGCGACAACTACAATATCGAACCCAACCACCTAATCAGAATCATCGAACTCGT